CAGCTGTGGGGGATTCTGTAGAGACGAGCTGAGCAACACTCCCCATTAAAGACCAGCGCATTAAAGGAGGTCGTCCTCCAGGAGTTAAACAGCACAGATGTGAAAATTTGTCATGAACTTGTACACCCAGTGCCAAGAAGTGTCAGAGCAGTGTACTTAGAGTTATGGAGAACATATTAAGTTCTAGAATATTACACTTGGTTGAATTAATCTTGGTTGTACTCAATTCTGCAATCCTTCATTTAAACAAAAATTTCAGAGCTGGCAAAAGCTGTGAAAAGAGTGACACTTTATCTCACAGAGTAAGATGCAGCATGCAGAAGTGACATGTATGTTTGTTTATCCACACCAGAACTACCGACTGTAGCCAAAGCACAATAAACTCATTTAGCTTTTTCCAAGGCCCATATTTACAAAATATAGACTTCTGGGAATCCATACTCTGGTCTCATGAGACCAATTCAGTCATTTCGGATCTAACAGCATACACGCATGTATTTCTCTCTTTTTATTAAGAATATGTTTAATACATTTCAATTTTGCCATCTTTCTATGAATTATATTAGTGATCATTAAGAAAATATATCTTTTATATTTAATCAGAGGGGGTGTACTCATTTATGCTGTGCACTGTATCCATCCATCCATCATGTCGTTCTATCTGACATTCTATTGAGCTATCTAGTATTCTATTTAGCTGTCTATCGTTCTATCATTGTACAGTATCTAACACTCTGTCGTTCTGTTGCTCTGTCATTTTCCAATTCTCAATCCGAGTGTCTTTTTTTTTTACAAGTTAATTTACTCTCATGCAAATGAACCATGCTTACTGCTCATTCATCAATGTCTTATTTCCACTGAATGGGAAATCAATGTGTAAGTATGCATAGATGCAGAATGTCACAGAGGAAGGTGCAGGACTGCACTGTGCTAACAATCCATCATCTTGTTAACTAGAGCTGTACATTGGGCTAATCAATTTTCTGACCCGTTCAGCATGATTTATTATGTGTTGCAAAACAAGCATTATATGGCCTGAAATTGTGTTACAAATGTATGAAGGAGACTTTGTCTCTTGTGTCAGAGAATGGGTACATGGTATTGAGATCTGATAAAGGATATGACTCACTGTATATACAGTACATGGCAATGAGAATGAGAATTGGTATGAAGCCTTTGTCTGAAATGGAGATGTGTGTCCGGACTGCAAAAAAAATTGTGTTTGCAGCAGGGCTGCCAATACCAAGACCTGTCAAACTGCTTTACAGCAGTCCGCACTGAAACAAAACATTAGGCTGCTGCAAATTAAAATGCCAGCACTGTTCATCGCCTCTTCAAAATGCATTACTTGTGTAATTCAACGCTGCAGCTATCGCTCTATTAGGAGTCTGTCACTTCCTTTTAATATGAACTCTTTCTTTGCAAGCTTACTTACTATTCTTTTAAATCTTTGCTGTCCTTCATACATGCAACAGCATGACATCCTTCATGCTGGACAGCTGAGCGATCACTGACTCTCATTGTTCAATTTTTTTAGGGGCTTTATTGTATAATAATGTCACAATTCTGCTGATTAAAACTGCTGGGAGGCAATGAGATGACTAATAATTACTTTGTTTCTACCTCACTAGCTTCAAATAGAAGTGTCTCAGTAACAGTGATTCAGGACCATTCAGAATGAGATCTGGGGCTGGATTCACAAAACATTCTTAAGAAGAAATTTCTTCCATTTGCATCTTATTTTGTATTCCCAAAAATTCTTCTTAAGAATATTCTTATCTTTTTTCTTAAGATTGTTCTTGAAAAGAATCTTCTTAAAAATCATCGTAAATAACTTCTTAAAGTTAGGATTACCTCAGACTTATCTTAACTCCCAACTGTTAAGAAAGATTTAATACATTTATTGGGTTATTTCAAATTAATTGTTATAGTTAAGCGTTACAACAACACTAGCTATACATAGTAGGACTATTAATAGTGATGTGCACGAGTTTTCATGGCACACCAATGACTGATAAACCATGATAAGTCATGATTATGTGTGACGTGACTTTTTTGCTAAATTCAAAATTCAGTAACAACTCTATAAAAGTGAGTCAGATATGGAGTTTTTTTTTATTTTGGCCTATACATACGATATAATCTTTGGCAGTATTCAGCGCAATCACTACTTAACCTGTTTGAAAGCTCGTCTTCTTAGGCTGCTTGAGTGGAATAAAATGTATGTACCACCTTGAGTCTATCATTGTTTGATGACTACCACTAGTATCTAGAAGAACAACTTAGGAGGAATGTTCCAGTAATGACAGAAAGGGCATGTTTTTCAAGGCTTGTAGGTGAGTTTTCAAAGAGCAACACCTAATTTTAGTACAGCTAAGAGCAAAGAGTTTTAAAAATGAAGTCATTGCTTATGTTAGCATTTCCTGCCAAATGAGCCATGTCCATTAAGACTAATGAATTCTGAGAAATAAAAGCACTTTTATTAAAATACGGCATGTTAATTTCCTCTTCAAGTCACATTGCTCAGTGGTGAGGTTCATTTTTTGGTTGTCAAAAGGGGCAGTGTCAAACAGGTTCTGGTAAAACATTGTGGACACTATGTGGTTGCACAAAGCTTTTCTGCTCTTTTTTTAAAAGTAGAAACTCTCTCTGAATGCATATTTAAAATTTCAAGCACTGACATTCTCTTTACATCAGTCTCAATTAGAGATGCACTGATGCTAAATTACTCAGCCGATACTGATAGACGATTATTCATAATTATGCCAAAGGGGGGGAAAACAAATATCTCCCAACTAATGCTGTACACGATGCAGGGAACCCTTTCATTTAGTACATGATATTAGAGGTTAAAATTAACAACAAAACTATTATATTCAATTATTTTTATTTTCCGATATAATAAATCACATTCAAATAAAAACATTTGTATACAACACAATAGCACATAATATTTTTCATAAATTGTCTTCAAACATACATATATAATTAACAGTAAATAAGCTCCCTCTAGTGTTTTTATAGCTAACTAACAGATGTGAACTCTGGATAATTTTCGTAAGGTAAATCTTTAAATGACATATTGTTCACAGGCTGTTTTATATGAAGTATTTCTCTTTATGGGGAATAGTCTTGAATTTACCGAATCACTTGACTGCAGAAGCCAAGGACAGATCTTTAAGGTCCAAGTTAGCTATTCAACCATTGTTGATTTAAAATGTAAAAGTTCTTCAATGTCATCTTTTGTTTTGATTTTGAATGTATATTGTTCTTTATTGCTAAACACCATGGTAACATGGTATCCACCTTCAAATGAAATCTGATGAAAGAAAATGTTTGTTATCATTTAAATATTTGAAATGAAGTGAATGTTTAAATATGATTACTTTTTGTTCTAGAAATCAGAATAATTTGTGTTTGGGTTATTTTCAGTACTCTTAGTACTTGTTATCCACTTGAATAATTTATACGATAACAAAGTTAACATGTTTCATGTTTGCTCATTGCTGTAGAACCTGCTGGAGAAATCCGCTGAGAGAGAGACCCGTCAGGAGTATGCTCTTGCCATGATCCAGTGCAAAGTGCTCAAACAGCTGGAGAACCTGGACCAGCAGAAATATGATGATGAGGACATCACCGATGACATCAAGTTCCTCCTGGAAAGATTGGGAGAGAGCGTTCAGGATCTCAGGTAAAGCCCACATACTCTCTCAACATGTTTTCAAAATTTTTTCCCCCACACATTTATACTGATTTCCTTCTTCCTCTTGCAGTTCTTTTGATGAGTACAGCTCTGAGCTGAAGTCTGGCCGTCTGGAGTGGAGTCCAGTGCACAAATCGGAGAAGTTCTGGAGGGAAAACGCTGTTCGCCTGAATGAGAAAAACTATGAGCTGCTGAAGTAAGAAGCGTCTGGTGTTAGTATTTGGGCTGAACAGTGAGTTGCTGTATAACTTGCTGCAGTGTCAACCAGTAGATAGTAATGCTGGCATTCAAAATGTAACATTATTCTCAAATGTGCCATAACCAGTAATAAAAGAGCTCCCTTTTGGCATTTACAGCGATCTGTCACAGTCACACTGCACCATAGAATGTCAAAACCACATTTATTGTCTGAATTTTGTAATACAATCGACAGAATTTGATAAAAAATAATAAAACAGCCAAAAAATATATTTGAAGTATTTTTTTGGCTTTTTCTACAAATGTTTAAAGGGGTGGTTCATTGCGATTTCACCGATTAGACGCGCACTAGGCGGTTTAGCCAATCACAACACACTGGGCTAGCTAACCAATCAGAGCCCATCGCCTATTTCTGAGGGCGGGGCTTCATAAAAACAGGAAAAGATCAGCCCGTTTCTCAGAGAAGGGACAGAGCTGTGTGGAATAAAGGTAAATTATGTGAAAAATAATGTTTTTTTTTTTTTTTAAACGAAGCATTAACACATGTTAGACTGCACCCCATAAACACAATCAAGCCTAGAAAAAACCAAGTGAACCACCCCTTTAATTGTGACTCCCACTCCAGCTGAGTCACATATATAAGATTTAATTACCAGTTGTGTGAAGATTCTGAACAAGTGGCAAATCATAATTTACAGTAGTGATCCATTTTATGATATTTGTTTAACTAATTGAGTTTTTTGTTTTTAACAGACAAATAAACAAGTCTTGTCATCCTGTTAAAGAAGCACATTTACTTGATGCACAAACTTAAGATATTCAGACTTGTTTTCAAGAATATATATTGAAATACAAAGCAGAAATCTCACTAAATGTTGTCAATTTATGGTTTAAGAAAAACCTGTTTGCCAGTTTACCCCAAGAAAACTTCAATATACAGTGGCTGCAAAAAGTATTTGTGTGCTTGTGATTTCTTTATTTTCCTTTCTGTTCCCCCCATTATTTCTGTCGATCTCTCTTAATAAAACAGTAGCAAAGGCCATAAATAAAAAAGAAAGGAAAAAGATAATTAAGAATATTATAATGTGAATGTGCAGGGTTTCCACGCGTCCTGGAAAACCTGGAAAACTGAAAACACATGGAAAATGACAGAAAATGTCAAATGTCCTTGAAAATCGTGTTGCTGTCCTTGAAAATTATTATTTAAAAAATGTCAAAGTGTTTTTCCTTTAGCCAAGAATAAACAGTTTACCACTGGCCCGAAACAATTAATGTTAATAGTAGAAAACATTCGACCAGCCATAAATCAGAACTGGCCTGTTTTTGCTCTGAATGACCGATCGGCAACCGGCTCTTTGTTTTATTTGAGCCGATCTCTGTTCCGGACTTGCACACAAACTGTATTGCAAGCATTTTCCAAAATGTCATTTGTGTGGAAATATTACAAAGTCACGTTAACGAAGGCCAGAGACACTGAAGACAAATGCAAAGAGGGGAAAATGCTGTAGCAGACAGAGCAGCTCACTGTTCACGATGTGCAAAATATTGGAAGGAAATCCTTAATATTGAATTAGGGATGGGGTTTAAAAAATGTATCTCTAAGGGGAACTGACTGTTTTCAGAAAAGTTCAGATGGTATTTTCTTTTCATCTTGGCTCTTTATAATGCATACTAAAGTAGTGTTTAGCAGCGCTGCTTTGTTTACAGCGGTAACCAGGGAAACGCTGTATCGCTGCTGTTCCGTAAGCGTCGCCTGCTGTCAGAGAGTGAATTTGCGTCTCATTCAGCCCGTCTGTTGTTTTTGTTTCCCGCAGATATGTTTTATGCAGTATAATTTCTCAAAGCTAAAGTCAGAACAGTCTGTTTTTGCTTCAGATTTTGAAATTGCATCTAATTTAAAGGGATAGTTCACCCAAAAATGAAAATTCTGTCATTAATTACTCGCCCTCATGTTGTTCCAAACCCGTAAGACCTCCGTTCATCTTCGGAACACAAATTAAGATATTTTTAGAGCTCTCTGACCCTCCCATAGACAACAATGCAATTACCACGATCAAGGTCCAGAAACGTAGCGAGGAGATCGGTAAAATAATCCATGTGACATCAGGGGTTCAACCGTAATATCACGAAGCTACGAGAATACTTTTTGTACGCAAAGAAAACAAAAATAACGACTTTATTCAACAATTCGTCTCCTCCGCGACGTCCGCGTCACCCTATAGCGCTATTTTGGAGAGTATCCACTGAAAGTAAACAGCGTATGCTATTCTGTGTCAGCTGTGTCACGTAGAAACTGCTCATGTATGTAGCATCTTTATTTGGATCGTGATTCGTGATTAAAATGCAGTTTTTGCCTCTCATTTTAAATAGCTACAGAGAGTTTGGCCTGTGATAGAGCAAAAAACATCTTGTTCATGTACTCATATTTTCATTCTATCTTATCTTTTGCTTTAAAAAATAAAATAAATGTTAAATTGTTATTGGAGTTGGCCATGAAAAATCAAGATTGGTGCATCAATACTGACTTTTGATAGTGTGAACACTGATGTGTTTTCTAACGTTCTATCCAGTGGTCATCTTTAAGAGAAGTATTTTGAATGACGCCATTTCGTTTTGTGATGAATGTTTGTAGTAAAGTGGAAAGCAACTTTGTTAACATTAATTCAGTAACTTGTTAACTAATAATTTTGATTATTGTCAAAAGTAGACTATTAGTACTTTTTTACCAAGTTGATACTGAAATTTTAAAAATGTAACAATACCGGCCGTTCTGCAGCACTGGTAGTATCAAGTACAGACTCAATTCAGTACTCGCTGATAGGCAGCTGCTTTCAAATGCTTCTGTGTATATTTATATCGCTTTCCATGAAGAGCGATGCAGTGACCAATCAGAGGTGACCAAGTTAGTCAGAATCCACTCATTTTTCACTTGACCCTTGTAGCGAATCAGCTCATTCATGGGGAAATATGAATAATTAAGAAAAGTCCATTTCTACTGTGCATTTGCCTCTTGCTATGGAACATGCAGTGATTTTCCCTGCTTCGCATTCCATTAGGTCGTAAATGTATCTGGTGTCAGGGTTGCCATGGTAACCAGGGTCCTGGGCCTTGTTCACAGACAACTTGGCACCCAGTATGTTTATTGGGTGAGGGGTCTGTGAACGTTTGTTAATCTAATGAATAATTGATTTGTTAAATCAAATGAAAAATGGTGTGTCTGATTGGTCCAGACGCTACACCCTATTAAAGCAATGCTTAATTGAAAAACATTTGAAGGATACATGCCAATATTTTAAAATATTTTTTCCTTTAAGATTATTAGCATTAATAATGAACTCAATGAATTTATTTTTATTTTCAAATAATTGTTGTAATGTATAATTAAGAGCTCATATTAGAGAGATGATTTTATAGGTATGTCATGGCCATAAACTGAATCTGTCATATAAATTGGTCTCTTCATTAGAAATTAGCCTACTGATTGCCACCATTGATGGACAACATTTTTTAATAATATTAAAAATATCTGTATGACATTATATTCTGCAGTTCTTCCCTGTTGTACCGAATATCTATACTTTTCAAATGATCATATCGAAGTTAGAAATTCAAATATTGTGACAAAATTAATTTTGTAGGGTGCCACAAGTTTCCAAAAGGGTGCCGCGACTAAAAAAATGGTGGGAAAATACTGCTTTAAAACATACATGCTGTGTGAATTGATATCATACACGCGTGTGAATAGTCATAATGAGTGTTTTCAGTTCTCCCTGCTTTTAGAATACAAAGATGTTAGCAGGGGTCAAGTGTTCTGAGAGAAACGGCAATGATTTTTGCAGTATTGAGCAAATGGTTAAATTACTGTTTTGAACATATTGTACTGTTTTTACACAAGTTGTTTTTACTGTCTGAATCACATTGCGTGGTTGTGTGCGTGTTCCTCTCCTCCCTCTCTGGTGAAGGTCGCACAAGTTGAAACCAAAGCCGAGTATCAGTGGTCGAAACTCTAATTTTCATTGTCTCTCAGTAGTTTAATCATGCGTCAGCTTGACCCTTTTGACAGCCCCGTTTAAATCCTAATCTACTCATCTCATTGCTCTCATCACCATGCACCCTCTCCACAATCAGCACAAGGCTCCATTTCAGCCCTCAGCAATTTGTGTTTTACTTCAGTTCGTCTCTCTTTTTTCCCTCAATTTTTTGCTCTCAGTATGTAGGTGATTTGTTGCGCTTGAACTCTCTCTCTCCATTCTGCACGATTGTTATAATTTCACGCTTTCATGCAGTTGAGATCTGTCTCATACTTGATGTATTGTTTTTGAGCGGAAATAGATTGAAATTGCATTTCCCAGAACAACAAGCTTTGTGCTCACTTCAAAATAAATAATTTTCTTAAGCAGTATTTTTGTTGAAAATACCTCAACATCCATGAAAAAAATAACCTGAGAATCTATTAAGATGTTATTAAATTGATCAAATGTGACAGTAAAACATTTATAATGTTAAAAACATTGTTTTAAATAAATGCTGTTCTTTTGAAATTTTTATTCATTAAACTTGACACAAATATCTTGCCAAAAAAACTTGAAACACACACCTTCCAAAATGTTGACAAAAAATATCATGTTTCCACAAATATTGTAAAGAAGCACTTGATAATTATCAGCATCGATAATAATAAGAAATATTGCTTGAGCACCAAATCAGCATATAAGAATGATTTCTGTAGGATCATGTGACTGAAGACTGTCTGCTGAAAATTCAGTTTTGCATCACAGGAATAAAATTACATTTTAAAATATTTTAAAGTAGAAAACAGTTCTTTTAAATTGTAATATTTCACAATATAATGTTTTTACTGTATTTTTGATCACATAGATGTAGCCTTGGCAAGCATATAAGAGTTCTTTCAAAAACATTTTAAAATCTTACTGAGCTCAAACATTTTTGGGGCCCACTGTATATTTTCTGAAAACAATCCATTTTTCTTCTCTATAAAATGTATTGTATTTGGTTGATGATTAAATGTTTTTACTGGAATACAAGACGAAAATACTGTTCAAGGAAACTTTTTTTTCTAACTGAACTAACAGAACCTTTAATATTTTTCTGGCCTGTGGTAGACATCACATCTCCAGCTGTACATTACCCTGGGATATATTTGCTCAGCGTGGGTTTAGTATTGCCCTGGAGATGTTACTGATTGCTTTTGAGGACCTGAAATGATTGTGTGTTTGTGCTTCCTGCCAGGATACTGACCAGGTTGTTGGAAGTGTCTGATGACCCTCAGGTTATTGCCGTTGCAGCTCACGACGTGGGGGAATACGTGAGACATTACCCTCGTGGCAAGAGGTGAGCGAGTATCCTTCATCCATCATCCATAAATGACCATCTTTCCGCAATTTTATGACTGTTCCTCAATACCCAAATATCCTGTAGCTCTGTGATTATAGCACTGAAAATCGCCCAGATTAGAGTTAATACCATCTATGGCAACTGCTTGCATGCAATGATATCGGTGTCAATTTACACTTACATCACTTCAAAGAGAGCAGCATACTAATTCATCCAGGCTGACCTATTGCAAGATATTGCCCAAGCTTGCCATTTATATTGTCGGCACATAGCATTCATGATCGGCCAATCAGTTTTAGATTTAAGAACGTTATATATAGTTTTCCTCTAAAAGTAAAGTGATCTGCCACTCGTGTCCAATTCCGCTGTGAGTGGCTAATACCTTCTCTAATCCAGACCATCCTCCCCCTGAGGTTAGCCACTCAGAACACAGCACAATCTCACTTTCCTCTTCAAAACACCCACATTGTTCAAAGAAACCGTGCTGAATATATAGGGACTCGTTGGTCTCATCAGCCCTGGTTCGAACCCTGTAATTAGACCACTCCAGAACAAATTAGCTTGTGCAGGTGAGCAGTTGTCCATAAGATTTGCACTCATTTGCGATAAGTGCCAAGATATTACTTTTGTGATCTCCAAGCAGTGATCTGTTTGTCTGTCTTTCTATTTATCTATCTATCCATCCATCCTTCTGTCGTTCTGTTGTTCTATTTATTCTGTCTATCTATCGTTCTGTCAATCTGTCTATCTGAATCTATAGTACAGGTCCCACAGTTGGCCCATAATGTGTGGGAACATAATGGTTTTGTCAATAATATTTCTTACAGAAGGCAACATTTTTCTATCGTGAACATTTCGGATCAAGTTCACAATGAATATTTCCAGGCAGCTGCATCAACGAATCAAATCAAAATTGACTGTAATATTGAACATTTTGTGGTGTAACTAATATGATTTTAATGTGCATTTTTTTAATTGAATAAAAAATGATGAAAAATTATTACATTTTATCAAATATAAAATTTTATAAAATAGTTAATTTATGAATTGTTAATTTAAATAGATTTATTTATTTATTTACATACATACAACATTCTTAAAAGGCTACATTAGCACCCTAGCATGATAGTGGCAAGTTTTGCAAGAATTGAAAGGCATAGAGTTTATTACCCATCTTGCAGAACATAATAATCTGGAACTGCATCTCTCTGCTTCTCTGTCCTTTAGGGTGATTGAACAGCTAGGTGGTAAACAACTAGTGATGAACCACATGCATCATGAAGACCAGCTTGTCCGCTATAATGCCCTGCTGGCTGTTCAGAAGCTCATGGTGCATAACTGGTACGTTTAACTTCATATGCATTAATGAATCCAATATTTATGTTCAGCATTTATTTATTACTATTTATTATATGTTATTATTATATGTTACTATTATTAATTTATTTACAGGATATTTACACACAATTTTAATCTCTTTAACCAAACATCTCGACATCTTCACTGAAATGCTGGTTGTTGTATTTATTCCTCAAGCAAAACAGCCCCAGTGTTTGTGCCTGACGCAGCATTGCCCTCAATAGTGACCTGGAATAGAGCTTTCTCCTAATCTCTCTTTGCCACGAAGTAGTAATTTTCTCACTTCAGCATTGCATAATTTAATGAATTATTCAGTGGACCATTGTGTCTTTTCAAAACCCAGGGCACAAAATAAGTGGAAAAAAACATGATTATCTTCTCCATGCATGTTCGATGTGTTGTCAGAGGGGCAAACTGTTGAATCAAGGCCGGCGAGGCACTGGCTCAGGTTCAGATAGAACAAACACATCCTAACACTAGTAGCTCATTATTGTGTCTGCATTCATCCTTAGAAGCTTCAGATTACTCTTTCAACAGGGATGATAAACCTCAAAGGCCCCGGAACACAGCATGCATGTTTAAAGCACAATAGACGTGTACTGGCTTACATTCAGTGGTGTCATGAGGAGCAATTGTTGGCTGTCAGCGTTTCATTACAGTGGCTTTAAATCACCCTTCAAATTGAAAGTTTAGTGCCAAATTGAGCATACAATACAAGTTGCTTTAAATGCTGCCTGAGTGGTATAGATCACTCCTGTATTGGGAGAATGTGGTAACACACGCCATAAAATATCTCCGAATAATTCATCTTTATCATCGGCCACATTGCAGGAGAAATAAATATGCGTATAAGAATTTATACGCTAGCATTTATACTGTGAACCCAGACAGAGGGTTTTATATATATATATATATATATACAGTGGTGTGAAAAAGTGTTGGCCCCCTTCCTGATTTTTAAATTTGTTTGATGATCTGAAACATTAAAGTGTGACAAACATGCAAAAAAATAAGAAATCAGGAAGGGGGCCAACACTTTTTCACACCACTGTGTATATATATATATATATATATATACACACACACTTGATCATCTCAACAGCTCTTTCATTTCCTTGCTTAGAAACAGTTCTGTCTGCTAATTCTGACTCATGGCAATTGGCAGAGTAGCATGGCAATTATTAGCCATTAGTAAAATGGCTCACATGTAATTTTCAGGATTAATTGTGCATAATTTTGAAGCAGTTTGACACAAAGCTTAGCTTGTCACCACCAAAAAGAAAGAAAAAAAGCAAGCAGAACAGTAAGTTTTGATTGTTCTCATTAATAATATAATGGTTGCTTCTGGGTTCAAGTCTCTCAGATACAGACCCAGAGTTAAAAGGGGACTATACAAAATGGCAATTGCACTGAAGAGGCAGAGAGTGCATGTATTATATGAAGATCTGAAGGGAGGTAAAGGCCAATTCTTATTTGTATTCTTAATTGGAGTAGGAAATTACAGGGGGTGTAATAGCCAGATGATTGAGTTAAGATTTGGTGAACGTGGTTTCCAAGGTGCTCTCAAGAAGAGCTATACAAGAAAGGCCTTTCACTGCCTCTTCTCAAACACCCTCTTTGCAATCCAGTAGCATCCATGAATGCCATTTCCATTTGCTGGACTTTTCTCGAGAGATTTTTATACCTTAGGGTTGTCTTCTGTTATCATGGTTTTGAGATGATCTTCTAATAGAGGAACATCTCGTTTCCATGGCATTTTTTTGCAGAACACATTGTCTTCATGCTTTTTTTGTATAAAGATACTAAAAGGTGCCTTTTCTTTGTTGTTGAGCTTTTTTTTACTCCGAGTTGGATACAGAAAATAGAGAAGAAGTCCAGCCTTGTGTATTTCAGTTATTGTCATCAAAACCACAGCCACAATTTACATCGGGAAATACATTTATTAAAGTAAGTTTTGTTTGCAATGGTTTCTTATTGTGTGTTTAGGGGTTCTTTTGTTTGTTTTGAGCTAATTTAAGTAAACTGATTATTGCTTGCTCTGTATGATTGATTTGTAATCTGTGTGGGTGTTTTGAAAAAAAAAAAAAAGCATGTGTGCCTACAGTTTATTTTCCCCTTGAGAGATGTGGTGCTGTCGCCACACTATGGCTGTCGCTTTTTCCCATTCTCACTCCATAGAGACTGTTTGGTGTCATGGCAACAGCCGGAGGAGAAGATGTTTTAGTTGGCACAGTTCTAGATGGCCGACTTTGCACGCTGTTAGCTTATTGTATCTGTACCATCTGGGTTAACCCCTGGAGGTCTCGAGATGTTGGATGACACAGTGTTTAATCAAATGTTTGTTTTGCACAAGCCTTTACGCACTTAAGGACTTCATCCGCGCGGTCTGTCTGATGCAGCTTAGCGTGAAATCCCTCAGATGTGCTTCGCTGTTATGAAACTTAATTTTATTCGGAAATGAAGTCCTGGTCGGAATAACAGAAAAATTATTAAGCAAGAGTTCACTGCAAAACAAGGTCAAAGATGATCACACCTTTGCTGTGGTATATGCGTCATATCTTTATTATAGAAATAATTCACACAGTGAATGTGGGAAATTTTGAAGAGAAATTGCTTAAACATCCAAGTGTAAGACATTATATTATTTTATAACAGACACACACAGATAGATTAGAAATTTAAAGGAAAATGGCATAGACATCGAAATTCAACACATTATATTGCAACAATTTAAAATGCCTGCTTTCTCTTTGAATATATTTAATATATTTTAAAATGTAATAAAATTTATCTAATGACAATATTTCCAGCAGCCATTACTTCAATCTTCAGTGTCACATGATCCTTCAGAAATCAGTCTAATATGCTGATTTGGTGCACAAGAAACATTTATTGTTATTTCAAATGTTAGTTATAAGTTGTGCTACTTAATAGTTTTGTGGAGACCATGATACTGTTTTCCAGGATCTTATGATGACCAGAAAACATTTATTTTGAAATACAAATCTTTAGTAACATTATACATGTCTTTACTGTCACTTTTGATCAATTTACTCCATACTTGCTGAAACATTTTTTTAATTTCTTTAAAAAAAAAAAAAAAAGTTTGAATGGTAGTATATATGAATATAGATTATTTAATTATACCTAATTGATTTCTAATTTCTTTTCTATTGTAAAGCATCTTGAATACAAAGGCATCAACACTTTATTATTTTAATTCAATATACTATACATATTGTTTATCCAGCTGGACTCAGGCTCCTTGTCCAAAACTTGAACAGTCAGTATACCAACAGGTTCTAAATGTGCATGAGAGAACAATTAAAAATTTAAAACCTGTCACTCATTTAGTGTAACCTTAAAATCATGATCTTAAAAAACTGCTGTTAAAATCTGAAAACTTAAAAGGGACTACAATTGAAAATTAGCTGTAAAAACTAAACTGGCACATTTACAGAAATATTAATAATGTGCACTTGCCCTTTAACTCCAAACTGAATAAAGTATGCTTAGATATTTAAATATTTAGATATTTATTTTAGTATTATTTCTAAAGACTTTATGATGATGTGTATGGTGATGTACCATGAGAATTCAGCATTACCATTTCTTGAACTCGGGAACTCTTAAACTGGATAATTCTAGAAGCAGTCCACTGAGTAATAGAACATTAATTTGAAGCCTCTTAAGGTCCTTGCACACTGAGACCGACATTTTCATATGTATTTTTTCATATTCTTCATCCTAAACATTTGTCACGTGCAGGAACCATGCACACTGAGTCCGATGCGTATGAATTAATTTGCAAAACAATACAAAATGGAGTCTTCAAGCAGTGAGGATGATTTTGAAAAAAAAAAGAGAAAGAGGAAATATTGGGTCCATCCAATCCTGAGATTGCGTAGAGCAGAAGGATAATTCCACTTCCTTATCAAGGAGTGGGAATTATACTGCAGGATTATCCCGAGGGATTCAAAGTTTACTTCAGTGCTTTTTATTTTTTTTAATGCATGGTGTTATTGATGCCTGGTAGCCACAGCAGAGTCGTCTCTTTCTTTTCAGCTTTCAAAATCAGCCACGGCTCTTCAAACACAAGGTCGCCATGGGTCATAGTCGTATTTACCACAGGTTGAATGAATAAGGCCACAGACATAGTCAAGCATCTCATAAGCCATACTCGGAGGATGAATCTGCCGTCTCTCGCTGTATATGCGGGATGAATGAGGATGGAAACTCTCGTTTGGCAGGTTTGCTAACTTTTCTTGCTGTTAGTTATAAGACCTTGACATTGAAAAAATGAAGGAATCAGTTTAAGGTGTCAGTGAAGAAGTTAAGAGTCTCTTGAAGTCATCACACTTACACCATGACCCTCACATACAAGTTTGGCAGAAAATTTAATGTAAAGTGCAGGTGATTGAGCCCAGTGGAGACTTTGCTTCAGTCTGATTTTTGTCTTTGTCCTGTTTGTTCAGGAGGACTGGGTTTGTGTGAGTTGTGTTCGATGCCATTCAGTCTAAAATTCTGAGACCACTCTGAAAATGTGAGATACAAAGTATATTTTAAACTTGGGAAAACTTACTAAATTATACCCCAGACATGATTCGTAGTGCTTTTTAGTAGGAAATGATTCAGTATGATTCATTTGCAAGGTAATGTGTTTCTCTGCATACCCATTTAAGACTGCACTAAAAAAATTGTATTCATAAGATGAGGGACCATTTTGGCCTTTAAATGAAGACCTTTATGAAAGTTTTCATAGGGCATTTTAATATATGAATGTCATTTACTGCTGATCTTTATATTAGCTTGAAGCTTTACTTCAATTAGCACAAAGCAGGGCAACTAATCTGACATTAATATTCAACTTACCATGTTCCACAGACAGACCTTATGGTACTATGTAAACTGTTAGCTCAGCTTCTGTCTAAAGCAAAGCTCTATCATTTTATGAATATGTGGTGCCTAAATTCAACATTAAATACATCAGATTTCAGGCTATATTCTCTACAACTGGTATTCCCAAACATTTTTATCAGCCAAATCCCTGACATAACATTTTCTTGAAGTACCCCCTGAGATTTTAAGTTAAACACATATTAATATGTCTTTAAATTTTTCCTTTTCAAAAATGTAAACCCTCTAGCTTTTATTTTGGTGAAAAACTGCAGGGATAATCTGTGTTTAGCTGACAACAGGTTTATTACTATTTCTTGTTACACATCTGGTAGGTACAATGCTGAAAACTTGTATCCACAAAAAAATGTTGGAAATTATGCAAATGTGAAAATTAAGTGATGCATGGTGTGTTCCCAAATGTATTATAAGTGACCTGCAGAGATGGAGTTCATGTGAAGCAGCATTTACTGAGAACTAAAAAGCTGAAAACATGAGCTGCTTGCGTGTAAATAAACACAGTGCCGTGCTTCACTCATGCAGTGCATCAGACTAAACTTTTGAGATTTAAATTATATTTAAATTCATTATGCAGCCCTATTTATTTATTTTTTAATGATTTTTACATTTTATGGCTTAATTATTTATTAGGTTTAACTCATGTACCTCCTGCAGTTTCGCTTGGGAAACCCTGCTCTGCAGTTACTTAAATCTCCATAACAAACCCTTAATGGCATGCATATCTTGTTTTGTGAGCTAGCTGTGAACATATTAGCTCAATTCATATTTAAATTGGCAGTCAAGCTGTTATTAATCCTCATATTTTCTGCTGTTTTATCTCTTTTGCTGGATCCCCAATGAATCAGCCCTCTGTGATTCTCTCCTTCCATCTCTTCCGCCGCTTATCTGCTTTGTTTCCATGCAAATATCGACTGATGTGCTGAAGTCAAACCCAGTAGATGTTTTGACAAGCTGCCAGAAATGACAATTAATGAATGACAGGTGTGACTAATGTAGTCAATTTGCCCATAAAGGAAGAGAAGACCTGAACTCACATAGTTGTCTCTGAGCTCAGATGACTTCAGAGCGTATACTCTACTACAGTAGTTTTTAAACCCTGGGTCGCAACCCTCGGGTAGGTCGCGAGACTTAAAAAATGGGTCACCTGGATGATTTAAGGAAAATGTATATATGTATGTATCAAAGTTCAAGACTCGGGGAAGAATAAAACGGCAAACAGCAAACGTAACTTTAATAACAAAAAGAACAACAAAATGAAAGTAAGCGCCTGGAGAGCATCAAAGGTTTCTAATTACAACGTGTTTTTACAGCGTTGAACATTGTAACCAATCACAGACATATCTGTTGATTTCTTCAATGCAATGGCCAATCAGATGTTTCAGTTAGTCAGAATCTACTCAGAATCTACTCTACTTCAGTCCTGAATTCTGCAAGCTAATCCTCTCATTATAACAATGTGTAGACACAATGTAAATAAGAGATGTATTGTGCAGTGTACAGAGATTCATTGATTATAACAGATTTTTCTGAAATCGCAATAAACTGAAATGAGTGACAGCTCAGTGATTATTAAGGGAGCGCTCTTTGGGTCTTGGGTGTAATCCATTCAGAATTTGAATAAAAGTTTTGTTTTTCATGCTGCTAAGATGACCAGCTTGGCGAACATGTGACACAAGTGACATCTGCATGTAATTGGGGGATTCCTTCTTCGAAATCACAATGATTGAGATAGTGATAATCATAAGGATGGACTGGACAAAATATGATGTAAAAAAAGATGTGCATGAAAGCTAAAGCACCCTCACTAATTTCAGAAGCACCCTCAGTGATTGATTCTAGAACAGAGAGCATCCTTCCAGAGCTTATAT